TGCAAACCACAGAGACAGAATACTAAAATTTGCTAAAACATATCTTAGACTGGGGTTTCCTAATTTGGAGGTCCAGCAACACCCTGTGGGGGGGGGGAAAGAGTGATAAAAATTAATTCATTTCTTGTCAAATGTTGGACAAACAAAAGGTTGAGAAAGGTTTTGACCAAGTATTGCAAAGTTAGGTACTTAATAATTTTAGATGTGGCACAAGGCCAAAAGTATGGGGCACCCAGTGACAATCAAACTCACTACTTAGTTATAATTGTTCTAGCAAGACACACTTGCTAACAATTACACCATGTTGAGGAGGACAAAAAAAAAAGTTTTTTCTTAGTGTACCTTAGATGTGGCACAAGGCCCAAAATATGGGGCACCTAGTGAGACTCAAACTCAGTACTTGATCATAATTGTTCTAGCGAGGAGCCAAAAAAAAAGTGTAGCATAGATGTGGCACAAGGCTGAAAGTGTGGGGCACCCAGTGATAATCAAAGTCACTACTTAGTTGTAATTAACCTAGCAAGACAAGCTTGTGAACCATTACACTGCATTGATGGTAGGGAGTACTGCCAGAAATATGAATAAAGACAATGATGAGAGAGAGGGAGTACTAGTAAAGACTGTGGGCAGTATGAAGAAAAACCCAATCTTTTCTACTGTACATCAGCTTAATTGCCTTGATTGGTCAGACTGTTGGCTGTTGATCTGGATGCACAGATCATAGTGTTTTTTCCCCACCTTTTGGCTATTGTCACTACCCAGCTGGCTGGGTGAACAGACCATTGCATCTGCTCCAACTCTAGTTTTTTTGAATTCAGAGTTGTCATTCTCATAGAGTGATTGCCAATCAAGTATAGAAAGCATAGTATGCTTTGCTTTTTAACCCAGAGCTAGGAGGGTGATAGATTTTCACAGCCTGAATTTGATAACCACTACACTACAAGCATGTCCATTCTATGTACATAATAAGTTTAAATGCAGTTAATTTTTTTAATTATTTCATTCCAAGCAAGGTGATAAAAAGACGCAAAGGTTTATTTGAAGTGTAAGAATAGCAAGTTATAATAGGTGTATATCACAAAACAAGATTCAACCACTACATAAAATTTTAAAAGGAAAACACATTAATTACACAATTACAAATATGTACAAATACAAAGTTTGCACAAAACTTTCCTTTTGTGTGCCTTATTAAGGCAGGATGGGCACCTCGAGGCGGTGTAATGGTTAGCAAGCTTGTCTCGCTAGCACAATTACGACAGAGTAGTGAGTTCGATCCTCACTGGGAGCCCCATACATTCGGCCTTGTGCCACATCTAAGCTATGCTTGGAAAATCGCTATTAAGGCAGGATAACAATTTCAGATAAAAAGATTGCCATTGAAAAATCAAAAAAATTACAGTTTGGGAAAAACGAGGATTTTGAAAAAGATAAAAGATAAAACTAAAACAATTCAAGAAGACAGTAGTAAAACAAGCGACAACTACCACTAAGAAAAAACAAAAAACCCTACTTTTATTTGCCCCACAAGCAAATTCCTAGGACATTGTAATTTTTTAAAAGTCCCTTTTAAAATCACACTGTTCATGTTTGTAAAAATTTCTTTAATTTTTTTTTGTTCTTTGTTGTCAAACTGCAGAAGAATTTTCATTTGCACTTCAAAATTCTTCAGTCTCTCTGCAGCAGGCTGCTAACTGGTGCCTTTTTGGTGCTTGCTTCTTGATGTCAACAAAAACCTTCTTGCTCCTTGATTTGCCTTGTCCCCCTGCTGTCAAAATATTTTCTCTATTTACCAACCTCCCCACAAGGCAAGATGTGGCACAAGGCCAGTTTTTAACATGGGGCGTTCCTAGATCGTAGTCTCAGGCAAAAATCGCCTGTAGACTTCGTTTATATGGGGTCAGGTTTGTCTCTCTCCAAATGAGACTCAGCCCTTCGGCATAGCCTAGGTTCCTCTCCGCCTGGAGACAGATTTTGACAAGAGAGAAAGAGAAAGACTCCTTCTATTGACCTGTTGAGATCTTATTAGGAAATTTAGGCTCACAGAAAGCTCCATCCAAATTTTCACAAGGACATGAGACCAAGGCTCTCATTGGCCACAAAATACGAAAAAACAATTTTCCATTATTTCAAGTTAAATGGGAAAAATTGGCGTGTTTTAACCATTGAGCTGAAAAAGATACACAGTTGTAACAATTTAACCCCCCCAAAAAAAAAAAAACATCTGGCCTTCATAAATATACAAATACAATTCTCCCAAAAGAGCGCGTATTAAAAAAACAACCTAGATGATTAAATATTTTTGTTTAATGCTAACATTTTTTTTTTATAATAGAAAAATCATTTTTTTATAATATGAAAAAAAAAAAATCACTTTTTTCACAAAAAAAAAAAAAAAAAAAAATCAGGGGTCGTACTAAGCAATAGACTTACACGAGTATATACGGTAAAAATTCAAATTAGTCACCGACGAGATTTGAACTTGCACCCAGGAATTCTTAATTTCAATGGTCATATGATTTAAAAAAAAAGAAAATAATAAAAACACCTAAAAGAAAAAAAAAGAAGTTATATGATAAATCAATAACCACTTATTCAAAATGACAAATGCTTTGTGATTAATAAATTAATTAGGACAACACTAAAAGTAGGTTAATGTGCAAGTGTAACTAGTACTGGGGTAGTTGCCTCACCATCATTTTATTTAGTTTTTTTTTTCTAGAGAAGCCCAAAAAAAAACGAACATCATTGAACGCATGATTTGCGTCATTAACTTTTTATGTCTATTGTCATTCAGTCCAGCTGGCAACAAATAATAATGTTATGCATACCTCTTTTTCGTCTCTGCACATAGAAATAAGCAGGCACGCCTCCATCTGGCGCCAACTGTATGGTAGTCTAGGATATTCAACTTTTTTATGCAGTAATGTTCAAATTGAGCAACAATTTTGCCCAGTTGTTGTTCAAAATGTTGCTGCAGCGTTTAACCACACCAACAATAAAAATTAAATAAATAAAAAATTTGTATTTATTTACACTACAGTCGCAAAAAAAAAAAGAAAAGAAAAAGATAAAACTTTTCTGATATGAGTGAGTGAGTCATTTGGAAGTTAAAAATAAAAACAGTTAATGATCCAGAAAAATAAAGATAAAAAAATGTTTCCGACAGTTTTTTTATTTAACATTTGAAAAACTTAATAATAATAATAAAAAATGTTTATAAAAAATCGAGAGAATAGCAAAAAGGGGGGAAATATTCATTAAGTGGTAATTAAATTAATAATTTCTTATTTTAAATTAAAATAAAACTCAACTTTTGTGGTGCGTGTGTGTTTTCTTTTCTTTTTTTTTTTACTGTTTTCATTTTAAAAAATTTAAAAAAGCACAGAAAACAGAACATCGTTTTTATTTTTTCTTAGAAATTTACAATTATTTAAAAAAAAAAATGAACGGATTTCTTTGCTTCGTGTCTAAGCTAGTTTTGACTGAAGTGTGTGTGTGTGTGTGTGTGTGTGTGTGTGTGTGTGTGTGTGGGGGGGGGGTAAACATTTAATGAATGGCCAACCAGACTATTTCCCTTACTTCACGGCGTGGCATCCTAAGTGTTGTTATTTATGTACAATTATGGGACACCAAGTGAGGACCAAACTCACTCGTAATTGATCTGCAAAACTATTTTATTTTGCTAACGTCACCATTGCAACGACGAGGTGCTTTTAAGAAGACAGTTGCATTGTTGCCTGATGATGTCAGGTCCAAGGTCAGCATCTTGAATGATGATATTTTGTTTTACTGTCTGTAGACATACATGCTTCAAAGACTGGCGCAAACAATCTTATTTCTCAATTGGTTTTGAGCTGCATTACTTAAATACTGACGTTTGACAAGAAACCCTTTTTTGTCGTAGTTTTGTACGGTTAAAAAAAAAATACTAGTTCTAGTTTAAATTAAAAAAACTCTAAAGTTTCTGAAATGACGAAAAAACTACTTAATTTTAAGAATAAATGCAAGATATCTCCAATTCCTTTCTTTAATTGATTATAAAATATAAATTTTATGAAAATTGAATAAACACAAAAGTTTTCTATCCCATTGAATCACTTTCTTTGATTGTGGGTGTCAATTTTGTATGGCAGTCTTTGCTTAAAAAAAAAAAAAACGAGGTGGAAATTTATTTATTTTTTGTGCTGAAAAATAATCTCAAATTAATCTCACGCCTTGAAAAATACTTCAAGCATTTAAGCCGCGGCTAAACTTAATGATGTGTAATGTCTATTTTATTTTTAAGATTGAATATTTTTTCGTGATGAAAATACACTGCCTGTTTCTTTTTTTTACTAAGTGGACTCGACTAATTTTAGGCGGTGCGCGTGTTCAACAGAGAGTTAACTCATTTGGGGCAACTTGTTGAATGTTGAGACATTCAGCAGAGCGATAATCAGGTTATAATATTTACGGATTATTATTAATGGTACACACGGAAATAGTCTACACTACAGAATATAATTAATTAATCTAATTTCTCAAATAGAATTCGGACTTTTGTTGACGTGAAGCATTTTTTTGCTGAGCACCGTGTTTGTTGTTATTTTTTTTTTAAACTGTCGCAAATGAAAGACATTTTTAAGCGTATATTGTTATACTTTAATAAGTTTATTATTTTTGTCCTTTTTTTTTTTTTTAGAAAATTATTTTTTGTGTACTCCAAAGATGAAAATTGTCGCAATTGCTTTTTAGTTTGTCTTTGGGGCGTTTTTTTTCTTTCTTTCTTTTTTAAATTTACTTTTTTTTTTTTCCTCCCTGCCCCGATTGCCGTGGGTGAAAGTAATTGAAAGAAAATGTCTAGCATCGGCAATGAAAGTAGTAAATCTTCTAGAAGATCTTCGGAATTGCCATCTACAAGTTCTGGTTCTGTATCTAAAAACTTATCAGCCTCTACCACAAGCAATGATGAGAATTTCCACCACATAGAAAAAAGCGAACAAGACGACGGCGATGGAATGAATAACAATCCGACAACGTCTTGTTCATCTTCTTCATCAAAGCCTTTAATTTGGAAACCTCCGGAATATCCTTTCCCAGAACAAACAATCCGTCCTTCTCGTAATTCTCAAGAGATCAATGTAGGTTCAGATCCAGAAATATTTGCAGTACCGACAGATGCAGAAATGGCAAGTTTGACTGCAAAAGAATGTCCTATACTTATCCGACCAAAATCCGGACACACCTCTTCATCCTCAACAACTCATCGGAAACGGTAAGTAACAAAAGTTTTCTTTTTTTTTTTTTTCCCCCAAATCATTTCGCATGGCATATCTTTTCTTATTGCGGTTAAATTTTATTAAAATTTGTATTATTTATTTACTAAGGCTGGAAAAAGAGTTGCTTTCCATTTTTTTTTTTTTTGTCAACTTCTAGATTCTTAGAATATGGAAAGAAGAAAATTTCATTCAAAATGGAAAATAATAAAAGTACAACTTTGTTTACTTTCTAGTTTTGAAAAACTTCTGTACATAAAAGTAAAAAAAATCGTTTGCTTTGCGTTTTGTAACTTTTGTTACTTTTTTTTTTTTTTCTTAAGTTGAAACTTTTGTTTCACAGTACTTTAATCCCCTCCCCGAAGAGTTTGGAATATAATCTGACAACATTGCAAAAACATTCAGCAAAATAAAACAAACTTCTTTAACTAAAACTAAAAAGTTCTCTTTAAATTTAATGTCTTGCTTTCTTCTTGAATGTCTACTTCTTTATTTTCTAAAGTTTCAAAGAAACTTAAAAATGTTTTTTTAAAAATCATATCTTTTATATTCCTGTGTTAAAAAAAGTCTGTTTCAAAATTTGGGTTCATGATTTTTCTTAAGCTATTAATTTAAATGAAATGACAAGTACTTTTGCAAAACATTTTTAACGTGGGTGCAAAACTTTATTGACTTGGTTCTAGAAAACTTTGTCAGATCCGGACAAATTGAAATGGAAAAAAAAATTGTTTTGCGTTGTAGTTGGAAAAAAAAATTGTTAAAATATTTTCCTTAACTCGGTCGATAATTTTGTTTTTATTTTTTTTTTTTTTTTTTTTTTTTTTTTTTTTGTCACCGAATTGTACATTCCTTCTGGTTTTTAAAGAAAAAACTAAGGCTAGTATCCAAAAGTGCGGGAAATGAAACTAAAACCTTCAAAGACGGTCTCTACTCTCTAGTGACTAATTCTGCGAACATTAAAAAAATATATATAGTTTTCATCAAATAACATACCTTGAACCAGAAAGGGTGTTGTCACTGTTGTGTGTTAAAAAAAGCGTAATTTTTTTCTTTTCTTGGTAATAAGATTTCAAAAGCAATTTACTGGGGAGGGGGTGTAAAGTCCTTTGGAAGTTAGTGTTATTTTTTTTCTTTTTAAATTCCACTTCGCTGAAATGTACACCAATTCTTCCCTCCCACTTTTTTTTTTTTTTTTTACATTTTTTTTCTTAATTTGTAACTACTGTTTCAGCCTTTTAATCTAGAGGAAACTAAAATCACTTTCAGGATAATGGATTTTAAAATTTTCATAGCATTAAATTAAAAACAAGATATTTTCAACTCGTACAAGTGTTCGTCTTCGAAATAAAATAATAAATGAAATGGCATTTTGTGGGGCTTCTTAGCAGTTTATAAAATGAACAGTTGATTTTTACATTACTCATGCCAAGAAGATTAATGTACAGGATGATGACGAAGTACACAGGTAATTTTAACAAAAAGGAATTTATTCATGAATTTACACGTTTGAAGTAAATGTCAGTAGCTCTTTTCAGGAAAACTAAATCGGATTCTTAATGTCCTTAGTAACGTATTCAATTGACATTAAGAGGAAATGTTTATACAACAGATTAAATAAGCTGACACACATACCAAAAAAAAAAATATATATATATATGACAAAGGTAAGATACTTTGTTGCTCATTGTGAAGAGATGTTGTTGTTGTTTTTTTTTTTTTTTTTTTTGCATACATCCAAAAGTAGACGAAGAAAGTTTGAAATACTTAGCTTTCTTGGATTGTTGAGAGAGGATTCTTTTGAAGTGTTGTGTGCTGGTTTAAAACCCGTTTGAGTTCGTCAACACTGAAACAAACAAAAAAAAAACAAAAAAAAACACCTTCACATTACTTACTCCAGTCTTCTCATTAATTCAATTTTTATCAAAAAAGAATTTTGCATAGGCTTGGTACTTTCTTCACTTCTGAGCTCACCAGCTAATTTCTGTGAAGACAAGATCATCATTAGTCCAAAAATAATTTCATATAGGCTCAGGAATTTTTCCTTCTTCCTCAGTCATCCGAATTTGAAGGGAGTTATTTCGCATTCCCTATTATTTGGGCTCTGGTGACTTCTCTCATTACAACTGTAGTGACCTTGTATCATACTACTGAAGAAGAGTAAAGACCTATTGGTTTTATTTCTTTTCAAATAAAATCCTAAAGGATCTGGCTAAATATTTTAAAATTGAAAATATCATAAAATCCAGAATGTGCTGGTACCCAAAAGTTAATCCTCAAGAAGCTCCTAGCACAGAATGTTATTTGGAAGATAGGGTTGTCAATTTTCCAACAGTAGAGAGGATCTCCCTGCACTAAAGTTTACTTTTAATTTAAAATTTACTTTATCTTTAAAATCTAATATTCAAAAGTAATATCTTATTTTAACCAACTAAATTTTGGTATTCTTGCTTATATATTACTTTTTTAATTGCTATACACTTGTTAATAAAAATATTACATATTTTTAGTCTTTAGGTTCGACACAAGGCTGCAATTAATGGAATTCTTGTCCCCACATATGTGGGTGGTGCTGGGAATTGTCCAATTTTCTTAGCACTTTTTAATGCCTTTGAACTTTACCTGATCTCTTTCAGAATGTGTTGAGGTGGTACTATCTGGGGGTGGGGGAATGTCCCTGCATATCTCTCTAGCCTAACTGTAAGGAATTTGCGCTCCAGAAGGGTAAAAAAAATGTCACCCTTGTCCTCTGGTATTTCTTTTAATTCTATTTTGGCAAACTTTAAATTTTATTTTAATAGCAATGTTTGGTTGTTGTTGTTTTTTTTTTTTTTTTTTCATAAAGTGCCTGAGGCTATTTTCCTTAATGGCTTGTTTTAACCATATTAAATTTAATAAACTTTAACATTTTTTAACTCTAACTCTTGTAGTTGTAGAGAATCGATGAATTTTTTTTTTTTTCAAGGTAAAGCAAATCTTACCTAATTTAAAATTTGTTTTTGATCATATCTGAGAATCTAAAACCAAACTGTGAAAATACCCCCTCACAAACTGTGCCAAATGCTGACATGAACTGCCTGTGAAGTGTGAAGGCTTAAGTTTTTAGTAGTAGAATGTCTTTAATACAAAAAAAAGTTATTTATTTGACATTTCATTTAACTCTTTCATGTTATTGAACTGCAAGTTGATCATTTCTAATTGTAAATATGAGGGTGGCTTCAATGATGCATAAACATTATCTTTTGATAATAAAGAAAGTGTAAATGACAAATTTCCTAAATATTCTGACATCTCAATCTCAAATACCAGTATATGCTTCATAAGTTGGATGAAATGTCACAGTAATGAATTCTTGCCTGCTTACTGAAAAGCATTGGCTTCTGCTTTTTCCTATTTGTCTCGTAAACGATAGCCGTGTTTACCAATGCCTGCTTTGTTGAAGTTGGTCAACTTATTTGTCTGTTAAAATTTATTTTATCAGATTTTATTTCTTGTAGATTTTGATAATTCATTTAGTAATCCGTACAAAATCCTTAAAATCAATCTGTAGCAGGCATGACGCACAAGAATGATCTCACTACTAAGTCATTTTGGGATGAGATCAAATTTCATTTTGCATTATTATTTCATGATTAAAAATAAAATGATCAAAGTATATTACAGAATAAGCTTTCATTCAAATATTTTATATTTCTGCCTTTCAGTTCTCTGTTTTGAAACTATTATTTAACTGTCTTTCTTTTTTAATTTTTCTCTTTCATAGACGCCATAGACTTGTTTAGTGACCAAGTTAATGGAGCTTCCTTCAAGTGAATTGCAGTAAAATTTTGAATATGTAATTAAATATATGTGGAGGTGGCACCAGAATTTTAGAAATACCAAAGTGGGGTATGGAACCAAATTGGTTGATTTAGTCAGCTAAAGCCTCAAATCTCCTCGTTTAGTGATTCAGTTGATTTTCTTTTCTTCAATAACGTTTTGCAGCACTGACTAAACCCACATTCTGACACACCTCATACTTAAATAAATGATCTGGATGACATGTATGACGTTCATATAAGAGTTTATAACTGAAAGGCATAGAAAATATTTGAATGAAAGCTTCTTCTGTAGTATATTTTGAGCATTTTAATCATGAAATAATAATGCAAAATGAAATTTTGAGCTCATCAAAAAATGACTGTTAGTGAGATCTTTGTGCTTCATGCCTGCTACAGATAGATTTTAGTCAGCTTAATCCTCAATTCTCATCATTTAGTGATATCAAGTCAATTTCTTTTCTTCAATAACAAATCATTTCCAGCACTAAAGCCACATTCAGCTAAATATGAAAAGGGAAATGGTAACAAATTTTTTTCAATGGCAGTTGAATTCAGTTACTCAATGTCTCATCACTTCTTTTTATATTGAATAATGGTTTAACTCCTCGAATTGCCCCCTTATTCTGTTTGTATAGTAAGCTGAAGGATGCATATCTTATGCATGCCCCACTAAGATGTTACTATGCTCCACTGGTGGGGCATGTGCTCCATGTTGGGAACCTAACTAACGCAGACTCTGTGTGTGTCTGTACGTTTATATATTGGATCAGATTTCCTACATTTTTCAACCGATTTCAACAAAACTTCACAGGACTATGTAAAATTACCTTGCGGTGGTTCTGACAGCGCCAAAAATTAGAAAAACACAATTGTTTTTTTTTTGCACGAAATCGGTTTGAAAACACGATAAAACACGATTCTGTCGCCAGAATGAAAGGAGGACAACTCATATCGAAGTTTTACTTATTATAAAACCCAGGTTGTTTGTGTGTGTGTGTGTGTGTGTGTGTTTGTTTATATACGGGATTGGATTTCCTACATTTTTCAACCAATTTCAACAAAACTTCTTTTTTTTTTTTTTTTTTTTTTTTTTTTTTTTTGGCAGTTTCTTATTGTCTTGCACACTTTTTTCTTTATTTTTAACATTCAGAATGCTTTAAAAATTCCATTTACAAGACAAT